TGTAATATCAGATAAGTTTAGAAGGAGTGCTTGTTCACAAAAAAATGAATAAATACTAGTTTGCAGGTTATTTTACCTTTTACAGATAGTATTTTTGACAACATTTCTCTTTGTGTTTGTGCATAAAGTGTCCAAATTCAAAGAATTAAGGGATAACACCAGTTCCTTATTCAGTAGTATTTTGAGAACCGTGGGAACACCCTTTTCCTGATCACATGATATGCTACTCGTGATATACATTTAAAAGTTGTTTTTCAGCAACCAAGCATGAGGGCAGGTGTCCCAGGAAAACAAATTATGTTAATTTTTTATCCTTTAGCAAGCAGTCCCATTTTTTTCTTCAGTCAGGCTTTAAGACTATTGTCAACTGTAATGTAATTATATCTGGTTTTAGTCCAAACCCAATGAACCAGAGCTTGGCTACAGGAGCTAATATGCCCTCTATATGTTTTTAAAAGCAATCTACACTGTATTTAGTCCATGGGAAAGTGTCTTCTTTTAAAATCTCTTAATCCATTCTCTTTGTCAGTTTTCTTTGCTACATTTGATGCACCCATTTATGGTGCAGACTGTTAGGGGAATCATACTATTTGTTCCAGTGATGTAAAGTATTAATTCCAGTATTCTTAATACATATATTAAAGAAAGGGATCCTCACATATGCTTTCACTCAAGCTAATTTGAAAGTGTTCAGGTGATTTCTGATAACTTTTTTATTCCTGCTTTGTTCAAGGCTGCCAGCAAGATCTTCCGGACTCAATATTCTATTCGTATCCATGTTCCTCTTTCGTGGTGGTGGTGAGGGGGGGAATGATCTTGGCTGTCTGGAAGTTTTTCTGGCCCTCCATGTTCTTGTAAAAACTAGTATCTCCAGCAATCACATCTGAAGCCCTGGCTCTATTGATTCCCAACATCATGCAATTATTCCATGTTTAGTATAGTCAACAGATATTTAGGATACTTATTGATATATCTGTCTATGTTGGAAAAACATTATTCTAGCAAATGCTATTCAGCTTTACTGGGAAATATTTTATGGTACTTGGTGAACTTTCCATGAATGTGAAAGAAACTGTTTTATACAGAACACATAGGCTGCAATTCAGAGAACGATAACATCCCTTCATAAGTAAGTCAGTTCCCATTACATTAAATAGCACTGGAGTGTGATTGCCTTTTTTTTAGAACACTGATTCTGACTGCCACAATTACCATTTTACCTGGCTATAATGCTCATGTGGATTCTCAGTGTCCTAATGACTGTGCCCTAGAAGAGCTGCTCATGGAACCAACCAGGGGGTGGCTCAGGACACAGTAAATGTTGTTGAACTACTTGGAAACAGTGACCACGATGCTATTAGATTAGGTGGAAGATTGTCAAAGAGGTCCAATGCAGTTATGTTTCACTCCAAAAGAAGAAACTTTTCTAGAATAAAGGCACTAGTGAAAAAGTTGAAGAGGTAAGAAGGTTAAATTCCTACCAAATGCTTTGAGGTTACGCAAAACAACAATAACAGAAACACAGATGGCATGCAAACCACAAATTGGGAAAAACAACACAAAGTCCAAGAGGTCAGCAACATGGATAACAAATTGAATATAAGAAACTATTAGAGGAGACTTCCTTCAAATGTTGGAAATGTTGCCCAAATTGGGAAAATGAAAGGGAGCACAAGCCTACACAATGGATATGCAGCAGACAAGAGAAACATAGGAACATTTCGAGGAGCATATCACTAACAATATCAAGGTCATCAATAAAGAATTCTTTAGTTATATAAGAAGAAATGAACCAGGTAGAGAGACAGTTGGACCATTAGTTGATAATGGGAATAAAGGGGTACCAAAAGAGGATAAAGCAATTGCAGAGAAGCTGAATGAGTGGATCTGTCTGTAAAGCAGAGGATATGGAATACGAGATACCTATTTCTGCACTTACCTGTTCAGGAAGGGCATCTGAGGAATTAAGGCAAATATGATTGACAAATGATGAAATTCTCAACATTATTGACAAATAAAAAGTTAATAAATCACCTGGCCCAGATGGTATCTATTCTAGAGTTCTTAAAGAGCTCAAATGTGAAAATGCTGACCTTCTTAAAACAATATGCAATATGTCCATATGATTAGCCTCTGTGCCAGAGGGCAGCAGTATGGGGAATTACAGGCTGGTTAGCTTAATGCCTGTTGGATGAATTGTTTGAAAGCATTATTCAGGATAGAAACAAAGCACAGAAAGAGGCAAGTCTTGCTGAAAAATATCATCATGGTTTATGCAAAGTTAAATTCTCCCTAAATTTTGAATTCTTTGCGAGTGTTGATAAATATGTGGACAGGGACAACCTAGTAGGCATCGTTTACTTGGACTTAAAAAGGGTTTTCACTAAAACCTCCAAGCAAATTTAGTAGTCATGGAATCAGTAACTCATATGAATCAGTAACTGGTTAAAAAACAGAAAGCAGAGAATGGAAATAAATGATAATTTCTCCATTGAAGGATTGGGCTAAGTTTGTTGATTACATCGGACTGTTTATAGTGGTTAAAATCAAAAGGGATTGTGAGAAACCCCAAAGGGATCTCATGAAACTAGGAGAATAGGCATCAAAATGGAAAATGCATTTATGTATTTCATTTCTATGCCACCTAATAGCTGATGATCTCTGGGTAATTTACAAGAACACATAAAATTCAATATCAAATATAAATATAATTAAAAATCATAAAATATTCCTATACAAAAATTTAAAATCAAAAGTAATATGAGCAAATTCAGTGTAAGCAAGTGTAAAGTAATGCATGTTGGGAGCATACAATCCCAGATTTAGGTATAGATTGATGGGATCTGAGCTAGCAGTCACTGTTCAAGATCTTGAGGTTGTTATGGTGTACAGCTCAGTTAAAATATCAACAGTTGCTATGAAAATTGTTCTTTCCAAGTTAAGCATAGCTAGGAAAGGATTTGGAAATAAACCTTCCAAGGTTGTACTCCCTTTATCTAGATCTTAGGTGCAACTGAAATTCAAATATTGTGTGCAGTTCTGGTAGCCACACTGAATGGACATGACTAAGTTGGAAAAAGTACAGAGATGTCTCACTAAAATAATGAAAGGATTACAGCTGCTCCCCTATGAGGAATCATTACAAGAACTGGGACTGTTCAGCAGAGGGGAAAAAGGGAGTAAGAGATCAAGCTTGGTGTGGAGAAAGTGAATGGAGAGCCTTTTCCTCCTTCTCCCATAATTCTAGAACCTAGGGTCATTTCATAAGCTGTTTGGTGGGAGCTTTGGGACAGATAAGATGCAGATAAGATGCAGTGTATACTTAAATTAGGGAATTCAGTATCACGGGAAGTAGTGATGGCCACCTATTTAGATCTTCTTTAAAGGAGATTGGACAAACTCATGGAGGAGATGGCAGCTATCAGTGGCTACTAACCTTGCTATCTATGTGCTACTTCTGTTTTCAGAGGAACCCATTTCTAAGGAGCCTGGACAGGCCAAATTCTTGTACCCATCCTGTCCGAGGGATCCTGAAGACAGGTGGATTGCCACCATGTGAGCAGAGTGCTAGACAGGATGGGGCATTGGTCAGGATTTAGCAAGACTTTTCTTCTGTTCTTATGAATTCCAGGCAGAAGATGGCCTTTTCTACATCTGTAAATGCACTGGAGAAGCTCTATTAAGCACATAGCATTATTAATGGGAGTTGAACTCCAAAACATCAGGAGAGCACCAAGTTGGAGAAGGCTGTTTTGACTCATGGGAAAGATTATAAGAGACCCTGCACATGTATAACTCTATGTGCATTGTATATGTACTAGTTTAGAGGACTGTAACAGCTGTATCAATAAGAATTCTCAATCCAGGCTCTGAAAAATTTTACTTCAGGTTTACATTCAATTGTCATTGAATGGATTTATTTCATAACTATGACCACTAAAACATGGCAATGAGAATGTTATTTTCACACACACACACATATATATACCTATAGTATATCAGGTGTAACTGGCGCTTTTTATATGATAAAATGAAAAGTTATTGTTAAATAACTGCTGTGAGTGTCAAACGGTGAAATTCATGTGATTACTCCAACTCTGGAATCATGGTAAATACTTTCCTAAGAATTATCAGATTCTAAATTGAATTCATCTGACCCAAACTGTAAGTTCCTCTAAAGGTTTCATACTGATTCATCAATTTACGTCTTAAATTTGCCTAATCACAAATGCTCATTGGGTGGATTACAGCTGTCTGAAAGAATATAATACAATAATAACGAACAACACAGGATATATCAGATTACTTTACCATACCTTACCAAAGTGTGTAACAAGCACACACTACAGATTCAGTTTTCTAATCTATTAAATGAAAATGGATGTAAAAAGCCCTCCTCACTTCTTATTAGTGTGCAATATATTGTAAAAGTATGGCCTTCTAAGTGTGGGGATTCATATGCATGTGTGCACACACATGTATGGACTTCAGTTTTTCAACCTTGGGGGCTTGGCAGGGGGAGGAAGCTCCGTGTAGGCTTTACTTTTTCTGTCTCTCTGGACAGGTGTTCATACAGATGGATAACATTGAGGAGCCTTTGACAACTATTATGTGAATAGAGATTGGGGTTAAGGAACTCCCCACCTCGCTGCCTTATCTAATATTGTTCTTTTTCAAAAGCCTGCTTGAAAGAATCTGCAAAACTGGGTCTCTGGTTTCCCATCATTAATTGGGTGTCTGTTGCATTTGGGTGGAAAGGGAGGAGGCTCCAAGTGATCTAGCAACACGGTTGGGCAAAGCACATTAAAATGGATCAAAGAATCTCTCAGTGGTATAAATACCTGCACACGACCTCACTGTGAATCATCGTCCATGTTATGTATATATGCAAGTGAAGGGTTGCCAACTGAAGTTGAACTTCATTGGGTAGTCCTAGGCAAAAAGCAAGGCAAAGCATCTCCTTCATTGCTCTTTTTTCCCTTTCTCCCCTTTTGGTGGGAATGAGTTGTCAAGTCTTTTCTTCAGCTGACACCTTCATCCCTCTGAATTCTGACTCGTCTCCCACTCTGCCTCTGATAATGCATCATAGCGCTGCAGAATGCTTACCTGTCTCCAACCATGCTACTAACGTGGTGTCTACAGGTACTTTTTAAAAATTATAAGACTGTTGTTCTTGTCGATGTTCCATTTTACTGCCTTTGCACTTTTCATCTGCTATGCAAGTGCTTTTGTGGGGAAGGGAGGTTCTTAAAGAGCTACTTAGTGTGATCTAACTTACCAAATGATTAAGAAAAAGTAAACCAAATGGCACATCAGCTCTGTAACTCTCTGTACAGTCATTTAGTTTAGAGTGTGTTTTGCCTGCCATGCTCACTTTCTATTAAAAGCTATCTGCTAAATTGGATAATCAATATTAGAAATATCGTCAATATAATTTTATACCAACATTTTTGAAAAATTTAATCTAATTATTCAATGAGATAATTTACATCAGCATGAATCTGGTGTCTTATTTCCCACCTATTTAAAACTCCTACTACTGGATGGGTAAATTGAAGTTATGCCTTTTTGAAGAGTTGAGTAAAGATGTCAATAAACCCAACATTTACAGATCTTTTAGCATTCCTATCTCAGGAATTAATTTACTCAGAGATAAAACCAATTGCTTTCAGTAGCACTTTCCAGAATGACAACCTTAGCTACTAATTTTTATAATTAAAAAAATTCAAAAGCATTAAAGTATTTTGTGACCTGCAAAATATTTTGCATCCTATAGTAAAATGTATTAGTTGATGTTTTTGAAGTATTATGCAACTTATTAGGAATGAATTCAATTCACAGAACATAGAAAAAGTTATTAACTTAATTAATATTCATAGTTTTACAAATGTCTTGCTGTACTGAAGACTTTTGTGAACATGAACATGTTTATCAAAGAAAAGCTAGCTATTTGTCAAAACACTATGAGTTTGATTAAGTCACCAGTTACATCTTTGCTACCCTAACTCATGTGAGAGTTCTTCTATGCTAACCTTTTCTAAATTGGACATCCATCCTATGAGCCTATATCCTTGTCAATATATCCTTGCATAATGGTCAATTTTAAAATTCAACCTTTAATATTCAACCAAATAAGAATAGTATTTTGGAATAGTACTTCAGAATAGCACATTCTATGCAAATAAGGGCTGATTTGTACCTACTTTTAAGGATGTTTTCTTAGAAAAATGGTTACTATATTTGTCTTCCTTTACAGCCTGGTCCTGTGCTTGCTTGCTTACATTAAGTCTCAAGGTATTCAGTTAGTGTTCAGTAATCTTCCAAGTAAGTGCTTATAATAATTAAGCCTTAAGAGAGCCATTTTATATTCCCTCAGCAAGGGCCCCAGCAATAATAGAATGGCCCAGGAAAGCCCCTTACAGACAGAAATAGAGCTCCAACCTTGAAAGAAAGAATGGGAATAGCCAGCATGGAAGGAACCATCTTGGCTCCTCTGAGTTTGGAAAGTGACCTTGAATAAGGAGAAAGTGGCAGAGAGGAGAGGGCTTTGGAGAGGGCAGAATACAAATTATTCTAGTACTTCCTCAAGACTCTTTTCTTCCAGCTTTCTTCCTTCTCCTTCTCTCTAATAAGTTTTCTTATTAGATAGGCTCAAATGTTTCTCCAGCTAAAGGAGATGGGAGGACAGGGAGGCAAACATGGCCTCTGTCACTTGTCCTGCATTGCAGGCTTCAGCCCAACAGTGCGTGAGCATCTTAGAATCACAGCAGCTTCAAGTGGTGAAGGCACAGTCCATAGCACTGCATCCTCTCTGTGCTATTTTCTTCGTAGCATAGTTCTCATCAATAGCAGTGGGAATTTGGTCTGTGGATCATTTTGTTCTGGCCCATAACAATGGCTATAGCAAGAACTATAAGATAGTTGAATTCTCATGCACAAAGTTTCATTGACACCTGCCTCCAACAAAATATGTTTCAAAGCACTGAAGTGGCAAAACAGAAAATGTCACAATGATATTTTAATATTTAAATTAACTATTAAATTGTTATCCTATATTTATTTTTATATGGAAGTAATATTATCCCTAACATGTGCCTGAAAGGATCTCTTTGACCATTCTCAATGATGATAATATTCTAAAATATTATAATATTCTAAACAGTGTGTATATTTTATTCTACATATATAGAATAATAGTCATAATATTTAACCATAATAGTCTAAATATTCTAATGCTCCAAAATAATATTCTAAAAATGAGAAGGGTTGCGGCCAGGAAGTATCTGTCTTTGATGGAAGGGCTCAATTCAAAGAAATTGCCTTGTTTAATTTTAGTAAACCTGTGCCCTTCTGTATAGCATATTCAGGAGCCTGGAAGGGGTACCTGGGGGATGAAGGCAAGCGGAAGTTCACTTTCTCCAGTCCAAGTGCAGGCACCTAAATCTGGATCCTATTCAGGGATTCTAACGTTTCTCTTTGCTTAAATTTTCTTCATAATATGTTTTGGTGACAGGAAACTGACAATGTTTCCATTTCTATTCTAGTGAAAAGATGGCCCCAAACCCTTCACCTGTTGTCAGTCTTACAAGCTGTTGGGCTGAAAAGGTACAATCTGATGGTGCCTACACGATTACTTGCTCCATGCTAGAAGGCTTGGCATTTCAGTGGGAGCTGCCATTTGATCCCCCCCCCACCCCACATTGCCCCTACATGATTTCAGTAATTTGCTTTTATGAAGTTTTTTAATGTGAAGAAACTTATTTATTTTTTATTTATTTATCAATTTATATCCTGCCTTTTTCCTACAAAGGGCTTGAGGCAGCTTACATCTCCTCCTCCATCTTATCCCCACAACAACAGCCCTGTGAGGTAGGTTGGGCTGAGAGTCTGTGACTGGCCCAAAGTCACCCAGTTGGCTGCATGGCTGAGCGGGGACTCGAACCCAGGTCGTCTGAGTCCTGGTCCCATGCTCTTAACCACTACGCCACACTGGCTCTCACTTAAACCCATTTTTATGTAAATCATTTATAAACTACAGACTAAGCAAAACAGAGAGACTTCAAATTGCACATTATGAAGAAAATACAATGAAACATAAACCAACCCATAGCAGAAGGGGAAAATACATTAATAGAAGCAACAGAAAAACTCTGACAGCTATCTAACATATTGGAGATGGGAATAAATCCATTATGGATGTACATTGAAATAAGACAGGCTTCATAAACTAATTAAAATCTGAAAAGAAACAGGACAAATGAGCATCTAGGGGCTAATTCAACAAAAATGGGGAGAATTCCAAAAAGGTTCTAACTTTTCGGTACCCTAGCATCCTGTTTTGCAGAAGGAAATCTTCTGTTTTTGGAGAGCCAGCAAAGAACTGAGCAATGTTTGAAGATATTCTGTGTTTGTTGGGTTGTTTGGTCAAAGTCTGATTTTAGGTGGAGAAGGGAGAACAGCAACCTTCTGGTCGCTCATCAGTGGTTTGCACCTGGACAGAAGTGTGGACTGGCATGCAGGTTACCCGATCAATCTCCTCAGCTCTGGTGAAATATATTCATGCAAATAAATATTTTATAAATTTCTGCAAATTGTGACGCAAATTGATGCCCTCTTTTGTGACAGAAGGGGGAAAATGTCTTTCTCCTCACATTTACCACACCATGGATAATCTTGTACACTTTTGTCCTATAATTTATGAACAAGTTCAAAAGCATTTGTCCCAGTACAGATCAATGTGCTTATACCTGCCCTTTGCAAGAATTTGCCTTTTATATCTACTGTCTGCTTTATGTTCTTTAAGTAATTTTACTTCACAAAAGGGTCTCTTTTTTATCTCAAGACTGCTAAATCTGTGCACAAAAATTTGGGATTTGATTGCCCATATATATTTTATAGGAAATCGGTTTTCCCGCAAGGAACCTAAAGTGGCTTACATAATCTTCCTCCTTTTCATTTTTTTCTTCACAAAAACTTTGTGGGTAGGTAAAGTTGAGAGTCAGTAACTGGCCCAAAGTCACCTGGTGAACTTCATGGATGACTGGGCTCTAGAACTCCAATTTCCTGTGCCTCTGTTCTATTATACGATACCGGGCTTTTGTCAGAAGAGATCTGCTCCAACGAAAACTTACAGACAAAAGCTTTTATTATGAGTTCCTCATTGTCCCTCATCCTGTTTCCTCCAAAGGAATTCCATAATTGAGGCATGAAAGTCACTGTGCTCAGAGACAGAAACACAGCAACACTTTCCTTTCTCTTGCAGGTACTTCAAACAGAGGCTCCTTTCTGTTCTTGAAGTTTGCTATGATTTTGGGAGTTCTAGCTTTTAATTTTTTAGAGAAGTCTCAAGACACTTATTAAAGAAGATGACCCTGAAAGTATATCATATCATACTATATCCAGTTATTTCAAAGACCATTAAGTTAAATCTTTTGTAGTTATATGGCAGAAAACCAATTTATGCATTCAAAAGAAACAAAGGAGCCAGTAAGGTATTGTGCAAAGGTTTTAATTGAATGTGAAATAGAATCTTTCCAGGAATATATTTATTTTTGGAATATATTTATTTCTGCTTTAATGCTTGAACAAGCATGTAAAACAAGATCTGTGGCTGAAGGAATGAAAATCAGGAATGGCTTAGGACAGAGCAATTTATTTTTAACTGGTGAATTCCCCTCATACCCACCCTCATGCATCATACTCAGACACAAAGAGAGTAACCCTGTGCATCACATCGTATGAATGGTTCAGTATAATATCAGACTGTGGAGTCAAGACGTCTCTGGTAGTTTGGATTTTGGATGCTTCACAGAGAAGGATTAAGACTATGAATGGCACATGTCTCTCTTTGCATTTGCAAGGATTAAAACAAACAGCTTTGTTTAGAGTAAAATAGATGACTGTCATTATAGGGCCCTCTGTGTGTGTAACATGGAATGCAACATAGCAACATTTGAGTAATCCCAAAGTCCTGTGCAGACAGACCTCATGTACAGGCCTAGCAGGAGCTTTGCAGGAGCTATCCATGGTGCTGAAATCCACCCCCAAAATAGGTTTGTTGCTATGAAACATGATGGATAGTTCCTCTAAAGCTGGGGCAAAAGTTGCATTGGATGAGGGGCCCCACTGACATAGGACTCGACAGCTTCCTCTGATCATGTGTACACATGAAAGAATGGAGAAGAAAGATCAAGGGTGCACTAACTGACTTGTTTCCAACCACCACACATTCAAGGTCCCTTTTATACTGCATCCAGTGCCATTTTTGCATGATTAGCTTCTGTCCCAGCAGGACCTTGAATAAATTGAGGTATTGGGCAGCACCCGTGGGGTAACCCACATTCCTCCTTCATGTGTTCTTTTGTACATTAGTATGCAATCCTATGCATGCTGGGAGTTTCAGGACATTTTTCTATCAAACCCTCAATGGTCTTGTTCTTTTATTTATTTAAACATTTCTATTGTGTAGTTCAGGGCAAGAAGCCCTCTCAAACCTAATATAAATAAAATCATTAAAATAAAAATAATCAAAACATAACATTCAACTACAAAAGCACTAGAATCTTTCACTCTTGCCCAGCAGTTTACCACAGACCGTTCTAACTATGTTTGACAAAAATATTGATTTTTGCCCTTATTCATGGAACTAAGGCATGGAGCATATTGGATTGGGAAAAATAGGTTGATTGTCTGAAAATGTTATATTATTATTATTATTATTATTATTATTATTATTATTATTATAACATTTCTATGCCGCCCCTTGCCGAAACCTTGGGGCGGTGTTTAATAATAAAATGAATTACTGTCTAGAATAGATTATGGTTCATCATGTAGGACAGAATGTAAAAAGAATATTTATTCTCAAAGATTCCTGTGTGTTTTGTTTTGTTTTTAAAACTGAACCTAGTACCTTCTGGAATCCTTCATCAGGGAAACCTTTGTCAGAGCTACGTGACCCCGATGGTGTAAGAATGATTGCCTTCAGTCTTTGGAAGCTATGTTGGGCAGTTGCAGGAATCTGAGGCTGTTGCCCCTGATGGAGCACTTCGTTCTGCAGCATATTGTGTTTGATATGTTTGCCATTGGCAATTTGGGAATGTGTCATTCATTCATTCATTTTGCATGTGGTTTTGTTTTGGTGCAATCCTTCTGGCCCCTGCTGTTCTTGTTGGAGCCATTTATTATTTATTTTATTTATTTATTTAAAGCATGTTTATGCTGCCCCCTTCGCAAAAAGCCTCGGGGCGGCTTACAAAGTACAAGCCATGAGGGAGCTAATTCACTTGATGACACTGGCATGTGAAAATGTGGGAATGAATGCATGCATTCACAATTACACATGCGCTCAAATATTCCTTTGCTTTCTATACCATCTTCCCAGCTCAAATGTAGGCTCTATTTACTGAGCTTTCAGACAGACTACCACCAACAGTTTTGCCTTGGTACAGAAAATCTGTCATGAGTTAAAATCTGGGTGCAGTCATGATGCGACATGTTTCCTTCACCACATGTTTGGATCAAATTAATGCATATACTTAACAAGTTCCCCAGGGGGTAGAGTGCAGGCTCAAGACAGGTCCAAAAGGTAAATGTAATTTGATATAATGTGATGGAAAGTATCTCAAATCCTTACACATTTTTAACCAATCTCATCTGTTTGTCTTTTATCCCAACACTTAAATGTTTCCACACATGCTTCTCCGTGGCAACTCTGGAAAATTCTCTATCAGGTCTACATTATTCGGTCCCTTCCTGTCATTATGGAAATCAGCAGGCTGCATATGGTGTGATGGCAGGTAAGAAATGTTTTCATGAAATATGTGTGCCTTGAACAGAATTAATCTGTAGCTATTTCACTTGAGCAGTGAAAGACGTTTCTAACAGGTAGTGGATTTCAGCTATTACCTACCTGGGGCCATCACAAAAATTGGCATCAGCCCCTTGAACCTAAATAGTCCATAATGATGGTGGTTGGAAATATTCTTAATTACTAAAAGTAGAAGTTTAGTCTCCAACATGGTGTCCGTAGTGTATTGGTGCCCCTCCTGATGTTGATTTTATTTTATTTTTTCATTTTTTTATTTTTTTCAAATATTGCAAATATTGTATTAAAAAAAAACCTGGGAGGTTGTCATGTTACCAAGCAAATTATCAGCTTCCAGCTCCATCTTTGTTTGCAAGAATGTCTTACTTCTCTCAATCTGCACAATTTTCTTTCTATAGTAAACTTTCTAGATTTTGGGCTTTATAGTAAATGTTCTAGATTTCTTAGTATTTGAGCAGAAAAAAATGGGGACTGAAAAGTGAAGTCCCCAAATCTTTCCCATTGTGTGAAAGAACAATTCTATGAGCATTTTTTTGTAAGATTGCCCACAATATTCTTAACATTCTAAATGTGCTCACTGAGCATCGCATAGCTTCCTATAGTGTATAGGAAGTGTCTGTGTGATGCAAGCTTATCATTCTAGATCTTCCTTAATAATTTTCCATGCAACAGTAGTATTTAGGGGGAAAAATTGATGAAAAGGAGACCAGAACTGTGTTACTGTCCCCAGCGTTCCAATGTTCATTGGCCTCGTTACATTTCCATCTGCAGGTTCCATGCAGCTGTCCATCAAACAGTGTCTACATGGGGTAGATGCCCCTTTACAGCCATGTCCTCTGAATGCCTGGATGACCAGGGAGGGGGACTTTTGAAAGATGTGGTATCAGAGGTGGAGCCAGTGGTGGGATCTTGCTCCCCTTTGTGTCCACAGTTATTTAGATTGTGCCTGTAACACATGAAACGTGCTTAAACTTGAGATCAATATTATGACTGTTAATTTGTTGATGCCTTCTTAAGAAAAAAGTACAAGGGAAAGGAAGAAAGTGATGAACAGAAATTCAGTTTGATCCTTGTGATTTGAAAACTGCAAGCACTTGCAGTGCTGTTCAAGTTGCTTTTGATTAATCATCCTAGAATTGACTGAAATATATAGGCTGAGTTTGCATGCCATGAAAACCAGGGGAGTTGCCAAGCTTTGCATTGCTGCGGTTTAAGTGAGCATGGTGGTATACACTGACCAATTGCTGGTGGCAAGTGGGAGCAAGTAATCAGCTCAGGAATGCAGCATTCTGGTTTTTCACAGAACTTATTAGCTTCTCCTGCTTGCAGCAGGAACAACTAAACAGCGTACAGCAGCATACTTGCTCATTCCCAAATAATCCAGATTTGTTTTGTTAAAAATTGAGTAGTCATTATGTCCGGACCAAACATAATGGAAATCCCATGTGGATACAGAATCTAGAAAGAACCTGTGTCTACTGAAGAGTTTAAGATTATGCTTTTCATGATTATGCAAGCCATGATTGCAAAGATTTGCAGGAAAAATGCATAGGCCAAATGATTGCAAAGATTTGCAGGAAAAATACCAAGTGAAATCTTAGAAGCAAGAAAACTTGCTGAATAAGATTTCCAGTGTCCAGAGAGTTTACATCTTCCCATGACTAGCAGAAAAAAATGAATGATGTTGTACTCATATTCCATCTACCCTCCAAGGAACACAAGGAGTAAACAAGATTTTATCTTCACAACAGCCCTAATAGGTAGGTGAGTCTGAGGAAAGGATCATTCAGAAGGCTTCATGGCAGAGTACAGATTGGAATTTGGGTCACTGCATATCTAGCCTGACTCTCTGTCCATCACACCCCACTATCAGATGCAAAGTAATAGAAATAGTGCCATGCAGATTTGCTTACATTGTGTGATGTATATTGGACTTCGTATTTCGGTTTTTCTCTTTGCTGATAAGGAGATGACTATGGTGCTGAATGTTTGTGTGATTATTTATGATACAGTTGGGGACTAGCTAGAACTACCAGTCATCCCATGTCAAACATGATGAAGAGTCTTTTTAACCAGGTATTTCTGAGATAGTTTTCTCCTTCTTCTCCTTATTTATAAAGATGCATTTATTCGGTTTGCTAAAACCTCTCCTCCTCAGGAACTGCATGAATGTTTGTGTCTTCTATTTCTACCATAAACCAGGACTTCAGTGGAATTCTTCACCTATTTTGCAATGCCTCAATTCCTCCCCTACAAATCTTCTCTAATAGGCATCAAGCCTGCAGCTCCAGATATGCTGGCAGCAAGTCTCTCCCAAAGTCGTATTTTGCAGACCTGCAGTATGTCCCATCCCAATGTTGTGAATGGAGTTGGCACTTTACAAGGCAAGTCCATTCCTTTTGGTGTCATCTTACTTCTCATATATGATTAAATTTTAGGGTTCTGTTATGAACAGCAATTCCTGTCATGCAGAACTGATTTGAGTTTTGGACCTTCTTGCTAGGGCTTTAGGTTTATTTTTTATTAAGTTTATTTTTTAAATGCAAGCTTACCTAATTTTGCAATTTTAACCACTATGTGAAGCTAACATTTGCATTTGTCCAAATTTTTCATTGGAGTGCTCTGGCCAAACAACATGTACAAAATTGTGTATATTAAGGAAAATGATGTTCAAAAATGAATTTTTAAGGAAAATTGCTTACACAATGTACATGTTGTTTTTTTAAATATATTTATACTCTTCATTTTTTGTTTCTGCAAAGACTCAAAGTGGCTTACATAATTCTTCTCCTCCTTCTTTCATATTATTCTCACAATGTCTCTCTGGACTAGATTAGTAGGCAAATCTTGTGAGCATGGTTATTTGGCAAAAATGCATGCAAAATTTCATGTACTTGATCAACTGTGCACAAAAATGCTTATGAATAAGCAGTGCTTTTTTTGTAAGAAAAAAGGTGCTGGAACTCATGAAATTATTTACCTTTCGCACATAGTCAGTCACTGTACACACACACACACACACTTCAGTTGTGTAACGAAACATAATGGTTGCCGCTGACAGTAAGCACTCAGCGCATGGCCACACGACCAATCACAAGCTGAGCAGCACCACAACCTTAGCAGCGCCATCACAACCAGTGTGAAGTACGCATGCATCGGATTTGACACACAAGCAGCCCGCATGCACTGTTTTAATGATTTTCCCGCCGACCTGCTACACTCAACAGGGCAATTCAAATCCACGTGGACCAAACATCAAACTTTCAAAAGTTACTTTTAAAACTTGGAAAATCTGTCGAAAAAAGGTGCTGGAACTCTGTTCCGGTGCGTTCTATGACAAAAAAGCACTGTGAATAAGGAAAAAAAAAACAGTTCTTTAAAAAAAAAAAAGCCTTTAAAGGACCAAACACACAATTGGAAAAGTGAGAAATTATAAGAGACAAAAGATTTGTCCCATTGGTACCTCTGGTACGAGATATGCATTAGATAACCAGGTGAAACTGTGTTCATGGATCAAATATGCTAAAGATGTATATCTGAAGACACCTAAATTAAGGATGCAGTGACTGTTCCTTTGCACGTCTGACAAAGACAAAAAAGGGCTAGTTTGTGTCCAAATATGATGTCAGCACACCAATGCTAACACCTGGCTGCATGGTAAAACAGTTGTAAACAAAAAAAAGAGGTGACCTTGGATTCTCTGCCTCATTTGCTCAAGGAATCCTAGAAGAAGAGAAAAACCAAGTTAAGAAAGACACACACTCAGTGCTATAGGTACACAGATCAGCTGGCATCCATCACACTCCTCAGAGACAGCCTTACCGTTAGGCAGCTGCCAGCCAGTTTTATGTGCTGGCATTTTCCATTATTTGATAAAATGTGTGGTTCTTACTGCCAAGAATCTTCTTTGGAGGTATTTTTTGCATGACAAGCCTTTGGCACTATGCACTGCCACAGGCAGCAAAATGTCTTGGACAAGCCCTGGAATCCAGTATTTATGTACCTGATCTCAGTATTACTGGGAACACGTTCCAATTAATTCCCAACAGTTCCCTTGCACAAATGCTCACACAAGATATCTGCTGAGCAGAGCAATGCAATCAGAAGAGCAGGCTCCTGTAAGATTGATCCTCCTTTTCTAGGAACAGGAAATTATAAGGCTGAACATTTCCTCCTCACAGAGGAGTCTCTGTGATCTTTCCTAAACTTGCTCTTTCAGTGTGAAGCTGCTCATGTGAGTAGACTGTTCACATGAACAGCTCTTTGGCTAGTGCTGCTGGTCAAATCCAGCCTGCCTAGTTTCCTAATCTTCCATGCCACAGTTCCCCAGTTCCCAGATGGCTTTGCCTCATTCTTAAGACCACACCCCATTTCCCCTGACCACCAACAGTTTGGTAGTTTTCTGGGTTTTTTTATACCCCCAGACCCATTCTAAGAGGTTAGATTGTCTCTTTAGTTTTAAGCTAACACGTGCTACCCACTTCTGAATGTTGGCCCTGCCCCTTTGCTTTCAGCCCTGCTCACTACTGGAATGTGGTCCTGAGAGTCTTTTGGAAATTGAAATGGGCTTGCAGGATGAAAGAAGTTTAATTCCCTTATTTAGGTGCAGCTTGCCTTGAGCTCAGTCACAGCCAGTTGAGCTGGGTTAATTCTTACTGGATTTTTGAGATAAGCTTCAAACCTTTTCCAGTGAAATCCATAGAATTTAAAAGTAAAATTGGTTGGATTGTGACTTTGTGGCTATAATGTATTTAAAGCTTAAATAGAAGGCTTAGAACATGAACATACATTCTATACCACAGCAATATAATTTTTCTGTGATGTCTTTTGAAATTTCAGTTTTATCTAAAATAGTAATAAAATGATGATGAGAATCTTCTTTGCTCACCTTTAGCTTTTATTCTCTCCAAGCATTCACAATCAGCTGTGTGACATATATGGGTGGAAGAACCAAACTTGTTAATAACATAAAAGAATCCAATAAGATAAATTAAGCTTATTGCTGTTTTTCATTTGGCTGAAGTATTTCTACCACTGCTTATAAATACAAAGATATTTTAACCATACACATGAGTTATGAAAGTGACTTAATTCCTAAAGCTAGGACCCCTGTCAGTGTGTATTGTTTCATATAGGGCTAGTATTCGTATGAGCTAGTATTTTCAGTCTGTCAAAATTGTCATGTTCACTCATGTACAAATACTGGTCTGGTAGTGAAAGCTTTGAACATTGCAAAGCTATGAACTTTTGCAAGTTCCAAATTTAGCAATCACCTTGGCTATACATAGCTCAAATGTTTGTTTTTGCAGGCTTTGCTAAAATGTAAACTCCATCCAAGAAGTTCATGCAAATTCATAATATAATCTGAATAAAACCAAGGCAATGCCAGCTTTCATTTCATTTCCTTAAAAAGAAGTTTTGATTCAGAAATATGTTGTTTAGTTGGACAGATGAATAACTGAGTCTAGCTGTAAAGCTATCATTCCACCCTCCCTTTGTCTAGAGAATGGTTCTTAGATGGCAAGTTATATATTCTAGCAATAATAGAATATATCTATACATCTAATGTGATTTAGAAAGCATTGTTTTACTGTATGATGGTTAGGTATTATAATACTTTGGTGTGCTTTGTTTCCTGACAGGTAGCCTGACCCCTTGCCTTTATAAATTTCCTGACCATGCTCTGAGTGCTAGCTCATGTGCTTTGGGCCACAGCTTTCCTCCCATGCACCCATCTATCCTTGGGGATGACTCTGCCACCACTGATTTCAAGCAGGAGTTCCGCAAGAAGAACAAGGCAGTTGAGGAACCCATAGACACGGATTCTCCAGAAATCAGGGAGCTGGAAAAGTTTGCTAATGAGTTTAAGCTAAGAAGAATTAAGCTAGGTATGGGGATTGTTTAAAGATTTTAGAAAATCTTTGTTTTGATTGCTTTAAAGCACCATGTATGCCAATTGTGGAACAAACGCTCAACAAAGCTGATTTGCAGTAGCACTAGTAGACACTGACCTTCCAAACTGCCCTTTACAATCATATGCAGAATGTTGTGAATTCGTGCCTTATACCTGCATTTATGACCCTGCCGGAACCATTTAAAGTTGTGTGCAGTGGTATGGTTAGATCCTGAATGTAATGGATTTCCCACCCGTCCATTTAGAAGGCCATGCTTATTTTTTCAGTACTGGTTCACAGAGCACACAACTTGGGATGTGTCAGGAATCTGGCAGGGGATGAACATCCAAATGGTTTTAATTATTTCTCTCTCTGGGTTCCACTGGGCTAGTTTTGCCCTGGTGCTGACTTCCTAGTGTGAGAGTCAAGTCCACCTGCAGGCTTTCATCTCTAATAACAACCACTGATTGGGCATAAAAACAACAATAATAAACAAACTAAGGAAATTTGCACAAATCACACTATTTGTGAATAATGGAAGGTGAAGGAAGTATTTTTAGCATGATTTGAGCAAATTCCACTAGAACATATGTAGAACATATGCACCATCATGACTACAGTATTTCATTTTCCTACACTGATACATTTATCTGGAAATAAGTACCATTTGGTTTTAGAAAATGGAAATATGTATAAAGAAAAAAATAATAAAATGGGTGATTATTTGGTAAGGGGAGGAGAGCCTGGACTTCAGCCCCAAGGTCAGATAACAAGCAAAGGTAAGAAATCCAAATGTGTACGTGTTTCTCTGAGTCATAGGAAACACATACTTTTTACAGTAGTTTAAAGTCTAGAGAGCATAGTACCATGGCTAAACTTTACTTTTTAGCATTTTCCAGACAGGTAACTATGGTAGCCCTTTACAGTAAAAACATCAAAGAATCGTGTAGCTTCTTAGAGATTATTATGGCATAAGCTTCATCAGGTGTAACTGAAACAATTTTTCAGGGTCTCACTGATGAAAAGAAAATCAGTTTCATATTATTAGAAGAGAGAAAGCTGCTGGAAGAGCTTTAAAATCATGATTCGTGTAGAAACAAGGGGGAGCACCTTTCTGCCACGTACACAGATGCATGCATGTAAGGACGCCGATGACAGCTCTCAGCATTCCTGGTTTCAACACACCGATCTGTTTTCTTTTGGCAGGTTATACACAAACTAACGTTGGAGAAGCTCTGGCTGCTGTGCATGGCTCTGAATTCAGCCAAACAACGATTTGCCGGTTTGAAAACTTGCAGCTGAGCTTCAAGAATGCTTGCAAACTAAAATCAATACTAACAAAGTGGCTGGAGGAAGCAGAACAAGTAGGAGGTATAATAAAATTAATGGTTCTTTTTAACTGCTAATTTCTCATTATGTGCATTTTAAACATATCAGTGTGGAGCAGTGAATAATACTTGCAGAAAGTGCAGTCCTTGCACCCAGTGCCTGTACAGGACGTGGGTTAATTCTTCCCTGCCATGCTTTCTATGCCAGCGTTCCAGCTAGCTATCCCTTGCTCCCAAAGACGGTGTGTAGCTCCTGGTACTAATGCAGAAGGTGTGCTCACTTAGGGACCTGACCAGGGAGAGCATCAGGGTTGCAGTGTGAGGTCATGCGTGGGCATTACGTCTGGCTCAGCTTCCATCTCCCATGCTCCCTGAGCACTTCAGAGAGATCCATGTCAATGTCAGAAACGGAGCTAGACCTCTTCTGCAGGACAAGCCTAGAATGAGGAAATGTCTCAATATCCAGTTTACACGTAAGGGATGATGTAGGAGTGTCCCCACATGAAACACTTAGAGTGCTTTCAAGGACGTTGCATATTCAAGGCCTAGCCATACATTTAAGACGCGGTTGACTGCAGTACTTCGAAACTGGGCCACCAGGGCTGTACAAATTATAGCAACAGTTATAGCATACATTAGGCCACATGCACTCAAGATGTTCACAGGCGGAGCGGTTTTGAATTTGAACTGGTTTACAGAAAATGCAACAAGATGGAGAGAAGGGTACTAGATCTCCTTCCATTCAATCTGTAAGGTCAGGAATGGGTTTTTCACCTGTGCATTGCAGGTGGTACATTCCAAGCAAACTTACTGTAGAATTACAACAATGTACTCGCTATCTTGCCATATGGCCCCCTACTTTTTGCATTTACAACTGCCTGAGAATGGGATCGGATCTTATTATATGCTATCATGCATTATTTGGTTCTTACTAGGGAACACTTTAGTCCAGGGTTAAACCAGTTTTGTTCTTTATTAGGAACAGTCTTGTTCTTTATTAGGAAGAGGCCTCCCTCTGTCCTGGTTCTCTGCTTGAATCCTGAGTTTCAGCTTTAAAAAGACTGGCCTTACATTCTATTTACCTTCCTTGTACAGTTTAGTATAGGTGCTCTGCATTTCTTAGTTTTTTAAGTTGTGGTTCTAATAAAGTTGAAGAGTAGATTTACATGGAAATCTGGAATAGACAGGAGTTTATGTGACTGGATAGACACATTGCCTAATGTGTGTGGAGCACAGAATATTTTTTATAAGTTCTTATTTCATTATTTCTTGGGGTTTCTGTCAATGGCAGGTGGTGCATTTTTATTTAATACATATACTTATTAAATGAATATGTATACAAGTAGGTAGTACATTTTTCTTTAATACTTGTATTTATTAAATGCATATATGTATATAAATATATTAAATTCACTGGAAATATCTGTTCAGGGAAGCAATAGTTTTGAGATAACCCTGCCTCTTGTCACTGGAAGTAACTTGTTTTAAAAATGTTTCATTCTATAGCTTTATACAATGAAAAGGTTGGAGTGAATGAACGGAAAAGAAAGCGCCGAACAACAATTAGGTAATAAATAATACAACTGGGTTCTGGCTCAGGTTTTTCAGCCAGGGAAAACACAAATGCAGCCCCTTCAGAGCAAAATGTGATTTGTGTAAAAAGGCATGTGCGCATGTGCACGCGCGCACACACACAATATCCAGGCTATTATCCTCTGCTTCTCTCCTACATAGCAATATATCTGGTGTCTATCTCAGGAGTGAGCCAAAAGTTAAATTGAATTTACTATAGATCTCTGAGTGAGCTGCAGTAGACATGCAATGGTTTCTTACTTCCAGTTGTTTAACAATAACAGTCAAGCTCCTGAAATAAAGAAACTCTTGGGTGGGATAGGCTGGAAAACCACAAGTGCATCTTGTATGAAGAGACTGAGTACTTGGTTCTGGTAAGATACCAAAGCTTTAAGTATTCCTTGTAATTTTAAGGTTGCGCTACCTCGCTGAGCCATTTTGCAAACACTTGCCTCCAGTTAGTGGAAACAGGGTGTTTTTTTAAAAAGCTAGAAATAGATTTCACTAGCTTGAAGTCTGTCCACCCTGATCTATACCTGTTTACCCAGTCTAATGAGAAAACCTGAAATAGTGGCAAATCGGACCTTCCTGGCAGAAATAGAATTCTGGGAAGTTGCTGCTTTCACATCGTGCATAAAGTATAACATTGCCCTCTGGTGGTCAAATTAATGGTTACATCTATGAGAGTGAATACGTGTTTGTATGTCCTACTTGCCTTTGAAAGGGATATATAGCATTTGAATACTCACAAGAACAGCAAAAAAGATAGAATTTCACCTTTCAGAAATACTTATAAAATACTTATGGATGAAGCAATAAAGTACTCTGATAACTAAGACTGATCTTAGCAAAAATACAACTGTATCACCAGGTTGATTTTATTAATTGTTCTAGAGGTATTTGCCCATTTAGAGTAAGAGAGAGGTTGATTCAGGAAACATTGGCCTCAATTTCAATTGGAATGGTCATGTAACCATTCCCAAAGAGACAGAACTGGGGAAAATGTCAACAATTTCACCAAAGCAAAAGCTGAGTTGGGAAATAGCAGCCAAGAGCAATGAAAAAGGTGAAAATTAATATAAATTAGAGGACAGTCCTGGGGCCTTTATAAAGTGTGTAGGTTTATACAATGCAACAAGTCATGCTGTTGCGTTGTATTCTACCATTGTTGTTCCATCATGTAAACCAAATCTCATTGTAGCAGTTCAGCATGGTATGCTCGGTTTTCAGAAACCACTTAAAGAAAGAAACAAAGGTCTGTTCAGTGGTTTCTTGAGATCATGATGGCTTATTGAATTATCTGAACCCGGAAAACACAGCCCATTGTGATACCAAGGCCAGCAATAGAGAGCTATTTGGCAAGAGCAGCCTGTTACAGCTCTTGCGAAACAGCTCATTGGAGACTGCCATTGACAGCTGCCATTTTGACATCCCTACTCTGCCTGTCTGCTGCCCAGTCTCCTTGGGGCAGGAGTAAATGATCAGCTGGGTGGCAGTGGAGAAAGGAGTCATGTGTAGGAGTGGGAGAATCATCTTGGCAGTGGAGCCCAGTTGGGGACGGTGCTGCTCAGCTGGCTCCCTCTGTGCTCCTCATACTTTCTCCTGTTTCCCAAAGAGTTGTTCCCAGCCAGATTCCATGACGCATCCCTGGCAAGTAGGAGCAAGAAAGTGCCCCCCCCCCATCATTGTCACTTCCAGGAAAGTCACTCACACAGGTCAGGGAGTGTCCATCACCACCATCCAGCCCATTCCCACCGGCATGTGCATGAGGGGCTTCCTTCAGTGTGCATGTGGGGAACCAGCTCAAATGCACTGCTCTTTGCTCTTCAGGAGAACCCAGATGATTTCTGTCCCTGTTTTGCCCAGGTGTAGCAGGCACCTCCAGGCTACCCTGCTGCACTGGTCGCTTCTGGAGCAGGAGGCAAGGCAACCTGATCATCTCCCTTGTGCTCAGGGCATGGGCGTGCGATAAAGACTGATTTACAGCAGCAGTGAGCCAAACTCAGCTTGCGATCAGGGCTGTCAAAGAGAAGAGCCCCATTCCTTCCCTTGGTGTCTCTGGGAGACTGCGTGGAGGACTGAGAGCGAGGAAGATGGTGCTTGGAAAGGGAGCTTCTGCCATAGGCTGGATCATCTGTCAGGCACATTGAGGTTTTAAATGCAAACCATGATCACCATAACGGGTTGCTTGTTTTGATATGTGCACCCAGCCATTATCCAAAGTATATTTTGGATTCTCCAATCTGAGCTTGGACACAGTTCAGCAACCTCAGAGGTGAGAATTGGAGCTCCTTCACTCATCACTCTCAAAACTGGGCTGGCTGCTTTTGAAAATTGGGGACTTGACCTAGTAAAGGGAAGGAGAAAGTGAGCCAGGAGGAGAGGAGACAGGAGACAGCATATGAGGGCACAGTCATTTAGGACATCAAGAAATTTAGATGTTAGAACTGGAACATACATTTATCTAGTCATTGTGTGGATGGTTGAAGTGCCCCATTATTACTGTAGTACCTTTGTTGAAGGCCCCTCTGATTTCATCTCCCATCTCAAGATCATCCTAAGCATTCTAATCTTTTCAGCAACATACATACAGCAATTTACTATTTCCCAGTTGTTCAGTGGCAGTTTGGAGAGTCATTCTCCCACTCTATTTTGTAATTTCTGCTCCCTCTGCCCTCCATTTCCCATAAGACTCCCTAAGAGCAGTGAAAAACGTGAGAGGGTTTTAGCTGCTATTCTGTATCTGTTTCTGCCCACTTGTTTTACTTAGTATGCTCAATGAATCTGACAAATTGCATGCAATGCTTTTTCTGACACAAAAATCTTATCCATGTGTTTCAAGTAGCCCATATGAGACATGTATCATGAGCCAGCTCTATCAAGGATATAACTGGCAATTTTTTTTTCTTCCTAGTATTGCTGCCAAAGAAGCCCTAGAAAATCATTTTGCAGAGCAAAGCAAGCCTTCTTCTCAGGAGATCATGAGGATGGCAGAAGGGCTCAATCTGGAGAAGGAAGTGGTGAGAGTCTGGTTCTGCAATCGAAGACAACGAGAAAAAAGAGTGAAGACAAGTCTACATCAGAACACCTTCAATTCCATTATTAAGGACCACCAAGAGTGCCAGTAGAATTCCTTCTGAGAATTAGAGATAAATTATTTCTTGACTGAAACAAGAAACTTTGAAAACTTAGTATCTTTTTTTAAAGGAAAACTAGGGCTAAATGGAGTGCATGCAATGCTTACTACCTTTAAAAGCTTTTCAGGTTATTATCATAAATGATCTTCAGGTTGTTTCACTCTTAATACCAGGCATCTCCTTAAGAAAGAAAGTGCAAGTGGGTGGTAGCTACTTGTTCAATTAGTGCCTTAAAATAATACCAGGCATGTGGAAGATGGACAAAACAGCTATCTTCCTACAGAGGGTACAAATGCATTTCCTGCTCTGAGGACTGCTTGGCCCATTTTAGTATCTCTACCTGTTGGACAGGCTGGAGAGGAGAGGTAAACATTCAACCAGCTTAAACAAGCCAACTGTATATACCCACCATAAAGTGCCTCTTTATATTTTATTGCTTCAGCTCATCAGTGCCTTTATTTGTTGTATGTTAGAGTATTGCTGATAAGGGAGCATTACACTGTCTAAGACATCAGTGGGGAAGCTTTTTCAGCCCAAGGGCCACATTTCTTCATAGCTAACCGTCCAGGGCTTACATGTCAGCAGTGGATGGAGTACATTGCCACACACACACACACACACACAGTGCAAAGCCTGTGAAGATATGAGATCTGCATAAAGGCACTAGTAATTCTTAACAAAAATGTCGGTTCAACCCATCCATGATTTGATTGCTGCAGACATGCTTTAACTCAGTTGCCCATTAAAGACTTCCATAAAGCCATCACTGCTCAGAACGCTTGCAGTAAGTAAGGCTGGGAAGGGGACAACTGTAAAAATAGGCTGCTGTTGCTGAGTCTCATGGGATGGGAGACTGTGTTGGTTTGTCTGTAAAGGCATCACTGTGCAAGTGATCAGGCATGAAATAATGTGGCAGAGGTGAAACACCACAGCTGCATGAAATGCCCTCAACTACTGTTCCCCATGCTGGCACCTGCAATATTTCTCTCTCTATTCAAGGGGCAATGGGGTGGTGGGGGGCGTTTTCTCACTTGTAATCTGTATTTCAGAAGCTCCATAGATCCTGAAGTATAAGCTCTGAATATTGTGTTAATAAATAGGGACTTCATATACTCCTGTTACTTTATATCATGTTTCAGTTCTCAGGCTAATCATAGATGCCAAGATGGAAGGGATATTCAAGAGCCCACAGCTACAGAGAAATTCTGCTGACTTCTGTTTGCTCTAGTCTTTTAATCCAAATACTCTATTGGTGCCATGGACATTAAGTGAACTAGCTAAATAAGTTACAGCATGAAGCCTTCCCTCCTGCAAGATGAGATTTCATAGGAGAGAAAGAAATACTACAGGAATTATAAGATTACTTGGGGAGCAAGAGGGGGATGAAAAAACCCGTCAGCTCCTACTGCGGCCAGGCTTATCTGTAGTTTGATGAGCACTCTTCTAGCTGACAGGGTCCTTAACTCAAAAGCTGCTTAAAGTAGCTGTGGCCTAATGAGTAGAGCTTTAGCAAACAGTGAGAGCCCCTGCTGGTTAAAATATTACCAATAATTTTAATATGGGTAAGGCTTATAGAGAAGACATAATCTACATTTCTTATATTCACGTTTAAGCTTCTTCCTCTAAGCAGAAATCAAAATGCAAAGGTAGAGAAGCCTGGTGAGGATTAAAAGCTTGCTTGTACCAAAAGGAACTTGGCCCAATAAGGCGTGCTCCTTATCCTACCTTTTCATACCTTGGAATAAACATAGCAATTATCTCTGCACTGGTTTACGCAGGAAAGCCAAAGTGTATTAGAGAGCTTGTTCTAAAAGCAGCTGAAAGGATCACTGAAATAGCATATACTGTGCATACCTTTAAGGGGCTCTTACTAACAAGTATGAAAGTGTAAACCCCTATCCTTCTAGTTGGTCACAACAAAGGGAAGATGAACAAAGCTTACTGAAGGCAAGGACAGTGCAAGTAGCCAAAACATCCAAAAAGTTGTATTTTTATCAGCAGATAGACAAGCACTAGAAATGGTTAAACTGCTTGGATTCTTGCTGCTTGGATTCTTTAAGTTTTCAACCAATTTAAAACTTTCAACTTACTTCGTTTTTCTTTTGTTTTTGGTGGTACCTTTAAGTGTTTTGAGCATCAGGGCCATCTTAACAGCATTATGGGCCCCGGACAAAGCACTGGGGCCCCTATGACAACTACAACTACTGTTAATTTTGGAAGTTTTCCAATTTTCCAAGGGTTTACACAGATTAGTATGGGGCTCATGCGTTAAGACGGCCCTGCTGAGCATGGAAGTCTTTGGAAAATATACATTTTGGGAAGGAACAACAGTGTGTATATTACACATGCTTACCTTTTCCATTGTCCTAGTAAGATTGCTTTTGTGTTGGATCCAATTAGACAGACTTATTGAAATCAGTAAGGCAGTAAGTTACTACCTTGTATTTCACTGATTTCAATAAATCTTTCAGGTATAATTAAGCCTGGATCAGAACATTTATTTTGAAATGTTACAAACTTAGAACTTGATGGTTTACTTCCCTTTTCTGATGCCACGAAGAATCTTGAAAAAGGTACCATAGTGTTCATCAGTAGCTTTATTCTGAGTGAGCACCTATGCTTTTAAACAGTTGCCTGACACACATTTATGTTTTGCAAAGGTAAGAGCACAGATAAAAGGAAATGCTTCACACATTGAATTCACAGCCACAGGTCAATGTGCTACCAGTGTTAGCAGAGGCATACATCAGTTGCTGAGCAGCTTTGGGCAGGAGCTCTGTTTGAGGGGATTCCTGTCTGAGGGAACCTGGTTTGCCACTATGTGAACAGAGTGCTGGACTGGATGGACCATTGGCTTTCTTAAATTCTTAGGATTTGCAGGTTGGAGAGTAAAGCTAGGGAGGTTGGGAAAAGATTACCTGCTAAATGTTTGCTTGTTGAACAGCTATTGGAAGACAAGAACTGTATTGTTTTACAAAGTGCAGCAGGCGTTAAATGGGAAGAGATGGTAATCTTAAATCTGATACCATAATTAAAGAATCCAAAATTGGTGAGTTGGTCCAGCTGATTAATGTTTCATTCAGGGTGCATTCCCCAATGCTACTGTTTTTCTTTCATGTATTCTTTCAGCACTGCTATTGCCCAACAGAACTGATGCAACATTTCTAACACTTTAGCTTGCCCATTGTAGCTATGAGTACACTTATTTTTTTATATTTCATATGCCTGCAACCTTCCACAAGAACACTTATGATTTGCCCTCTTACGTGGCTTCAAGGATAAGAACACAGGAAAGCAGAAATATGCTGTATGTGCATTTATCCTAAGTTTACAAATGCAAAAATGGTATATGTTCATTTGCAGCAGAATCCTAATATATGTCTATTCAGCGGTAAGCCAATTGTGTTAAATGGTACTCTCTCAAGTATGTAAAGGACTGCAGTCTACTTCTCTAATTAGTGAATGTTTTAAAATTGCTTTTCAGTAAGTTACAATATTAAATCCATCCAATGAAAATGGCACTGCAGGAGCTAAAAGCTTTTATTTATTTTTACAAAATCCGTAATAGGAAAACTTATCTAAAGTAGTCTTAGTGCCATATAAAGTCTATTTTTTTTTCAATTACAAACCCCAGTTGTATATCTACTTGAAAACGTTTTGATCCTAGTGTAACCAGAAAAATCATTATTGTATTCTAAAACTGAAACCTAAGTCCACAAATATTGTTACTGATGCCATATATAGTCAGATGACATTGTCACAATAATTTCTTTGTCTCATAGAAAATCAGCAATAATTTTCTTGATCATTTACATTTACACGATTTAGAGTTTGCTACACAATACAGTTGAAAAGGAGAAGAAACCCTTTTTCACATCCTGCTATAACCTTGCTACACAGTTAATGTGAATTATATTTCCTATAATACATCAGGATATCCATTATTTTGTTTTATCC